ATCATGTTTAAAATTCCAGTATTGCTCGATATCTTTGTATATATCAACTCCAATATCATATTTCAAATATAGAATACTGTTGAAAATCAATCTCAATCGCAAACCCAAAAAATTAACTTGGAATTCGATAATACCCAATAATAATAAATTCGATGTAGTATTTGATGTATTTCAAATACTGATACCAAACTTTCCCCTAGCTACAAATAGTATTTTGGATATTGCAATCCTTGGGGTTGGTTGTTGACTTTCCAAATAATGGTTAATTATTAATCAACTTAAATCAGTACTCATTAATTAGGGATAAAACTAATATGCACATGAACATGACTACATGAAATAACTATGTGTTCTCATTCCTTAAGAATATTTACTATGCCCAATAACTTTTGTTTACCCCTAGCCAACTAGTGTCCGCAAAACAAACGAGCTCATGGGAGTACTTCATGTTCTACTTCACTAAACTTGTTTTGGCCAAATTGATTATGTTATGTTTGTTGTCCAAGTTTAAAAGTCAATACATATAGAAGGTTTACACAGACACAATAACTTAGCGCCTAACTGTATGTTAAGTATCATTAGCTTCGGTTTAACAGGGATTGGAACACCAACAATGTTTCATTTCGTTACTATTGATTTTGTAATGTCTGTCGAGAAGTTTGAAAATAATTATTAATTGAAAACTATATTTGCATCTCAAAAGTTAGGGATTATTTAAAATTTTATTTCGTTCCCTAATAACGTTACCTCCATTTAAACAAAAGTGTTATTCACTTCTAATTCATGGTAAACGTTGTAGAGCACATACCAATTATCTAATAGTTTTAAATGTACAAATTCAATGTATACCATAATATTAAAATACAATTTCAGTTTGTAATATAAAAAAGTAATTTTTTATACCAAAACACATGTACTAAAATTGTGAACTAATGTTGTTTCACACAAATTAGTATATATAAAGTGCAAGTATGCTTAAGGGGTCTGGTGGGATGTGGGAGAGTGTATCGTAGGACCACATAACACTTATTTTAAAAATTATATTTTTTTCCATAATGCACGTTTTTCTAACTGTCGATTAGGTAAGTTTCCCCCTTTCGCTAGGACTTACCCTAAATGACCACCTAACACTTATCTTAAAAATTATATTTTTCCCATAATGCACGTTTTTCTAACTATCAATTAGGTAAGTTTCCCCCTTTCGCTAGGACTTACCCTAAATGAGTTTTTTCTTCTTCTCACGTATAAGTTTTTTTTTACTTTTTAACCCACGTTTTTCTAACTGTCGATTAGGCAAGTTTCCCCGTTTCGTTAGGACTTACCTTAATCGAGCTTTTTCCTTATCACGTATGATTTTTTTTCTTTTTAACCCACGTTTTTCGAGCTGTTGATTAGGAAAGTTTCCTCTTTCACTAGGACTTATGTTAAAGGGTATTTTTCCTTCTGCCACATTTTTCTGCCGTAGATTCGTGACTAATTAAATGTTACACTTAGTTGCAAGTTTTACATGTCATTAGTCATTAATCAGTGTATCGACTTTGCTATGACTAGAAGAAATAAGTTTATTGGTACCTCAAATACTAAATACTGACCAAATCAATCTCAATCTAAAATAGTTTGATATGATATTAGTATAGCAACTTATACTCCCAAGTATACAAATACTGGGGTATTATGTTCAATTGACTAAACTTATACTTCCCTATTATTAAATAACTCATAATTCTCTAAATTTAAATTTAGTTTCACTATAGTCTTTCATCAATACAACTAAATAATTCGTTCTTCTAAAATATTTCATCATAAACATAAACATCGGTTAATAAGAATTAGCCATTTATTATAATCATATGTACAGAACTTATACTTCAATATTATAATTCACTAAATCTCAATTTAGTTTAACTATAATTACTTATCAATACAACTAAGCAATTCATTCTTCTAAGATAAAGCATACACATAAGTCAATAAGAATTAGTCATTTCTTACAATCATGTAGTTAATTATACATTTGGTTATTAAGGATGAACCCTGTCCTTCATTTATTTGAGAGGGCTTTGAAGCTTCGTGAGTTAAGGGAAGGTTTATTGTATCATGTTAAATTTTTTGGGAATGCTCGATATCTTGGTATATCAATTCCAATTGCATATCTAGAATATTCAATACTACTAAAAAATCAATGTCAATCACAAACCCAAAAAATTAACTCAGTACTCGATAATACCAAATAATGATAAATTTTGTGTGGTATTTGATGGATCCCAAAAATTTAAACCAAACTTCCACCCCTAGCTTGGAACAATATTTTAGATATGGCAATCCTTTGGTATTGGTCGCTGACTTTCCAAGTAATGATTAATTACTAATCAACTTAAATCGCTACTCATTAAATATGGATAAAACTAATATGCACATGGACATGGTTACATGCAATAATTAAGTATTTTCATCTCTTAATGAGATTTAATATGCCCAGTAAATTTCGATTACCCCTAACAAACCACTGTCCAAATATTAAAAAAAACTACTAATGAATTAAAGTAGCTAAATTAGCCTGACCACTATTCACACGACCTCACGCAAGAACTTCATGTTATACTTCATTAGTAGGCTTTGTTCTGACCAAATCAATTATGATATGTTCGTTGTCCAAGTTTAAAGGTCATTACATATAGAAATTTACACACACAATGACTTACCACCTAACTGTAAGTTAAGTATCTTTTTCAAAAAAAAAAATTTATTAAGTATCAATAGATTTGGTTCAATCGAGATTGGATGACCATCATTAGTTGATTTCATTATTATAGCTTTTGTAATGTGTATACAAAAATTTGAGAAAAATTATTCAATTAAAAACTACATTCGTATCCCAAAGGTTAACAATTGTTGAAAAACTTATTTCGTATTCTAATATCACCAACCTTCATTTAAATTAAGATATTTTTCAATTCTAATCGACATATACATTTTTAGATAAACCGCAAAGACGCGCACACTAAAGAAGGGTTATAAACATGTGGCGAAAATATAAAGACTTCATCACCAACACAAAAAAGATGAAATATTGGCCTGGTTTGGGCGTGTGGCGCTCTCCCCACCGCTGCCAACACAGAAACCTTTATCCCCTCCTGCCCGCCATTTGTATCCACAAACTCCTCACCTTGCCTTACTACGACCTACACCATCATCTCTGAATCACACCCAACTCTTCCACTCCCTCAGCCCCTGCTGAGATTTTAGCATCCTCTTAATCCACATAACTAGCAATAACCCTCCATGGCGGCGGCATCAGCAGCAGCAGCATCGTCATCGGCCGTGGTCGCTGGCGCCCCCTCTTCCTACTCCAGGACCCGTTCCTACCCTATCCAGACCACAGTAGCCGCTCAAAACCAGGTTCTTGACCTCCATAGTCATACATATTTTACAGTTTCACTAGATGAAATGCAGCAGCAAGTAATCATAAGTCTACATAGATACCAGGCAAATGTAATCGATCTCAGTATAATTTGACATATGTCTAGAAAACCCAATTCCAAGGGCTGTCCATACAAGACGCCAAGAGGCAGCAATCCTCGTCAGCCATCTTCATTAGTAGCAATACTGTCGACAAGAAGCAGGCGAGGAGAGGGCTGGAGATCCATGCCAAAACTGCAGGGGCATCAAAGTCGATTGAAGTCGAAGTAGACAAGCCACTGGGCCTCACCCTCGGCCAGAAGTCCGGCGGTGGCGTTGTCATCACGGTCAGTCAGTCAGTCAGTCAATCATCCCCTCTCCTTACTGAATTCACATTTGTGAAATGTTTGAGATTATGATAGAGAGCTTTTCTGGTGGATCAGGCCGTGGAAGGGGGTGGGAACGCAGCAAAAGCAGGGCTAAAAGCTGGAGACCAAGTGCTATACACAAGCAGCTTCTTTGGGGATGAACTCTGGCCAGCTGATAAGCTTGGCTTCACTAAAACCGCTATCCAAGCTAAGCCTGACTCGGTGTACTTTGTCGTTAACAGGTAATTCCACCCTCCACTGTCCATAGCCAATTGGGTAATTAGCTGTTTATAGCTGAGTGCTGCAATTGGAATGAATGCAGAGGTGCAGCAGTGGACGTCAAGAGACTGCCAAAGCGACCGGCACCTCCCCGCTTTGGGAGGAAGTTGACTGATACTCAGAAGGCAAACCCTTTTTGCGCCTTTCACAAGTTTACAAGACACCCTAGTTTCTTGTTTCTACATTGCTAACCAGCAGCGAAATTCTCTTCCTTTTTGCAGGCTAGAGCTACCCACATTTGTCTCGACTGCGGTTACATATATACATTGCCCAAATCTTTTGATGAGCAGGTAAGACTTGATTTCCTTCATCCTACAGTTGTGTCAGATATTCGATTCTTGACATTTTCTTCTTTTAACTCTGCTATGTAGCCGGAAGGGTATGTGTGCCCGCAGTGCCTGGCACCCAAGAAGAGGTTTGCTCGATACGATGTCAGCACCGGGAAAGCAATCGGAGGTGGGTTGCCGCCGATTGGTGTGATCATCGGGCTGGTGGCTGGTCTTGGTGCAGTCGGTGCACTACTTGTCTATGGTCTTCAATGATGAGAAGCTGCACCTGCTGCTGTCCGCTCTGTGCGTGCTCAAACATGGAGAGTCTAGTCAGGCATTGGACAGTTGCATCTATCATCATTGTCACAAAACATAAGTGATTCTGAATGTTGTTGAATCATCTTTTGGCTGTCTACGAGAAGTAAATTAGTGTTCCACCACTGCAAACAAAGTGCTAAACATGCTTATAATGATCTGCTTCGCCTTCTGTAGTAAAAAATTTCGATGACCCAGATTCCACAAGCAAACATAAGATATTTGTTGATTGACAGCTTCACAGAGAACTAGGAAAATTTAGTATATACTTCATCCGGTACATATAACACACATTTTAAGCTCCAAAAGTTTGAATATGTACACACTTGCAGTATACTTCAGTAATCATAATAAAACCAAACGAGAAGGATGCCATTCACTCTGATTCCAGAACACAAACAAAGGCAGATAGAGAGCGGTAAATATATCACACACGTATTTGATAGTCTTAAGGCTCCACAATGATCTTCCCGGTGGCATGCCCTTCAATGCTCTTAGCCCAAGCATCTTCAGCCTTGCTTAAGGGATAAGTCGAGTCGATTACTGTCTTCAGTTTCTTCTCCTTCACCAGCTCAACAAGACACTCCAGATCGGCAGCCTTAACATCTGCCAAAAGTGGCAAGAGCTGCTTCTTGGAGAAGGTCAGCTTCTTCAGGGCAAACGTCATGAAGGCACTTGGTCCAGGAGTGAGATCTATGACCTTCCCACTCCCACTCAAGTTCGGTTCAAATGTTGACCATGAAATACCAGTTGTGCAGTGAACCACAGCATCATACTTCTTGCCCGATGGGCTCTTGAGAGCTGCTCCCTCTGGCGTTTTGTAATCAAGAACCTCATCAGCCCCTAAACTCTTTACTAACTCAATGTTCCGTGCTCCACAAGTAGCTGTAACATGGGCGTTTCCTAGCTTTGCCAATTGAACAGCATACTGACCCACACCACCAGATGCAGCAGTTACCAGAATGTTTCTCTGTGGCCCAGTTCCGTCTAGTTTGAGCCCAGCAACCTGAGTGAGCGCCTGGTAAGCAGTCACACCTGCAACGGGCAAAGCTGCACCTTCAGCCGCTGAAACTTCGGCTGGTCTGGCAACCGTGGAGCTTTCCTTGGCAGCTGCATACTCAGCCATTCCACCTTCACTCTGTTGCAAGATGAACACCAAATGCAGAAAAACCAGCATATGTTAGAAACTACAACATCAAAGGTAAAGCATCACCCGATACTTCATTGTCTGTCATGCAAAAGAAAAAGTTTCTCTACACATATTCCAGATGCAAGTGAGGGATGAACTCGAACATACCGATAAGGCGAGGTAACCCACGACTTTATCGCCAGCTTTGAACTTCTTTACAGCCGAACCCACCTCCACAATCTCTCCGGCCACATCAGTACCTAATTCAATGCAAATAACTCAATGAGCTCCAGAGTTTGATACAATTCCAATTTTCAAAGCCCAAGTCTTGTTCAATAAATATCATCTCCTAAATGCCCAACAATCAAAGCATTATCATAACCCAGATTGCATCTCCAATGATAAGTTATAACCAAGCTAGAGACCGAGAAAATTACAGGGTATGCGAGGGAATTTGCGTGGCAGCACGGGGCGCATAATCCCCTTCTGCACTTTCCAGTTAACTGGGTTGATAGATATCGCTTCCAACTTGATCAAGACCTCATCCTTGGCCGGAGTAGGGATCGGAACTTCAGCATGCTGCAAAGAAAGCAAATGAAATCCAAAGAGAAACGTTAGACACACATAGCGAACGGCCGGCCATGATACTTCTCACCATTTATCTCCAACCTCAACGGCGGAGCAAGCGAACTGGCGATCCAGGCTAGATTGAAATTAAAACAGCAAACAGCAAGCAAAAGGAAAGGAAAGTGGAAGGCCAATTTGAACCTTTAAACCAGCAGCTCCACCGCCGCAGCTAGCGTACTGAACGGCGCGCATAAGCTTCCCCGATGTAGATGCCATCTTCTTCTTTTTCCACCGAGAGCAAGTGACGGAATGGTTAAAGGCGGTGAGGTTGATTCTTAGTTTTTGTTAGCGAAGTGAACTCTGGAAAGCCTTGAAATTTGGCTGTTTTGCTAAAATGCAGGCATACTCTTCCTGTATTTAAAAGCTAAATAAACAGGCTTGCGACGGCTGTAACGGTGAATGCCTAAATTGCCCCCAGAGTATCGTGTGCGGCAGCAGGTGATGCCACGTGTGATGTGCCAAATGTCAGGAACACGTGATCAAGTTGCGAAGAAGTAGACTGCATCTGCATGTGAATACAGAAGCGTCAAACTTTGAAACGCGGGAGACTTATTGTTTTACAAACTTTTGACTGGGAAAAAGCATAGAATCCAAATTCACGCGAGAGAGAGAGTTGTGCCAAGTAACAACGTTTTGGCCAAATAGGGTTTGAGGATTTAATGTACCATCTCCCCTTCTTCTCATTTGATACATTTAGTCTGATTACAACTCAATGATCCAACTGTGCTGTGACAATAAGATTGTGAAAACGGAGAAAATAGAGAAGACAATCAAACAGTAAAAAACATCTCTTTAGGCTGTTAGTAATGGAGCACTCCCATTAGTCGACGAATGTCCACTCTGCATTCTGCAAGTGGCTCTGTGATCCGTCTCGCTATACATCTGAATGACGACATCTCGGTAAATAGGTTTGTGCTGATGAAGTGGTCGTGGTTCGAGTCCAGTAGTAGAAGAAAAAACTGTGGGTTCTTCTTGTCCTCTTGTTACCCGCCCACAAGCTGGCGGGTACAGAATAAGTACCCCGAGCTTGGAGAGGAGTCCATAGAATAAAGCATGAGTCAAGGCCTTGGTAAAGAGATCTGCAAGTTGATGATCTGAAGGGACATATAAGAGTTTGATGATGCTAGCCAGCAACTTTTCTCGCATAAGGTGACAATCCAGCTCAATGTGTTTGGTCCTCTCGTAAAAGGATGAATTTTCAGCAATGTAACTTGCGGATTGATTATCACAGCATAAATTCACAAGTTGAGAATGAGAAAGTTTAAAATCTTGGAGTAAGTATAAGAGCCATTGTACCTCACATGTAGTTTAGGCTAAAGCTCTATACTCAGCCTCACAAGAGAATCGAGAAACTGTGGTATGTTTCTTGGATTTTCAGGAAACCAGATAACCACCAAGAAAGACACATTAATCAGTAATGGAGCGCCTGGTGTCTGGACAAGCACCCCAGTCAGAGTCACTAAAGGCTTTCAGAGTCAGAGAAAAGGTGGAAGGGAAGAATAAGCCATGACCTAGATTCTTCTTAACATAACGAAGGATCTTGATTGCTGCCTTCTGATGAAGCAACGAAGGAGCACTCATGAACTGACTGACCGGTTGGGTTGCAAAACTAATATATGGACGTGTTTTAGTAAGGTAAATAAGCTTTCCAACCAAACTTCGATAGGTTGCGGCATCGACCTTTTCACTACCATCATCTACACTTAAATGAACCTTGTAGTCCATAGGGGTGGTCACTGGCTTGGCACCCAAGTGACCTGCTTCTGTATGAAACTCCAAAGCATACTTCCTTAAGATAGATGGATACCCTTAGGGCTTCGTGCCACCTCAAGGACAAGGAAAAACTTGAGATCACTAAGGTCTTTAATGATGAACTGCTGATGAAGATAGGATTTGATCTTGGTAATTTTAAGCCAAGTCATTCCGTCCACAATGAGGTCATCAACATAAATCAAGATGGTTGTATAGGAAGTGTCAGTCACCCTAGTGAAAAGGGAATGATCAGCAGGACTTGAGGTATATCCCTCTCGAGATAGACTATCAGATAGCTTAGCAAACCACTGCTTGGAAGCTTTCTTTAGGCCATATAGAGATTTTTGAAGCTTACAGATAGGATTAGGAATGTTGGGAGGATAAGAGACACCTGGAGGGAGGGCCATGTAAACCTCTTCATGTAAATCTCCATGCAAAAAGGCATTGTTTATGTCCACCTGATGAATGAACCAATTTAGAAGCCGCAATTGCCAAGAACAACCTGACTGTTGTCATTTTCACAACAGGAGCAAAAGTATCCTGAAAATCTATCACCTTAGTTTGTGTATAACCTTTTGCAACTAGACGTATTTTATGCCTTTCAGTGTCACATGTGGACAAATATTTGATTTTGTATACCCATTTTCAACCTATTTTATTCTTTCCTGGAGGTAAAGAGACAATGCTCCAGGTACCATTATTTTCTTGTGGATGGATCTCAGCCTGCATAACATCATCCCAGACCTGATGTTGAACTGCTTGTTCATAAGTGTCTGGTTCTATATGAGCAGAAATAGATAGAACAAAGTGTTTGTGGGCAGGAGACAATTTTGTGTAAGAGAGGAAAGAGTCAATGGGGTACCTTTATTTCCTTGCTTCTGTTGAACATGTCTGAGATGCAAACAGTTGTGGTCTACGGTTAACCAAGTGCTCACATTCATAGTGACTCAAATGGCTAGCTGGCTTGACAACTCGTGGGAGAAGAACTTGAGTGGAACCTATGTCACTAGAAGCAAGAGGGGTGCCATGACTTGAAGGAAGATGAATAGGTGGTGGAGTTTCAGGAGGGCTCTCGCCATCACTTTCAACGTCAGAAGAAACAGGTGAAGGAGGAACTGGAACAGAAGAGGCTGATGGAATATAGTATGGATCATCATTAGCCAATACTGGAATACTGGGATTAGGAGTAGAAGGTATGGTTTCAGATGATGGATGAAAAGGAAAAATGGACTCATGAAAGATATCTCGAGAATGGAAGATTCATGATTATCCAGATCATACAATCTAAAACCTTTGATCCCAATAGTATAGCCTAGAAAGATGCATTTCCTCGACCTGGATAAAAACTTGGTCATGGTATTTGGTAAAGTGGAAGCAAAGCATATACAACCAAATATCTTAAAGAAACTGAGGCTAGGGTTTTTTATGAAAAAGTTCATAAGGAGAGATTTCTCCTAGAATATGTGATGGTGTTCTGTTTATCCAGAAAATAACATGTTTAACACAGTCTGACCAAAATTTCAGTGGTCTTTTTGCCTGAAATTTAAGAGCCCTAGCCACTGCTAGGATGTGTTGATGTTTTCTCTTCAACTTTGGAATTTTGTTGAGGTACTTTAGCATAAGATAGCTCATGAATGATACCCTTTTTAGACAAAATTAGGAATATTAAATTCTTGTCCTTGATCACTGCGAATTCTTTGAAACTTGATTGAAAATGTGTCTCCACTAAGTGCAAAATTAAACAATGTGAGGTCTGGCTTCTGATTTTTGTTTCATGAGCATAATCTATGTTAATCGACTATAATCATCTACTATGGTAAGAAAGTAGAAAAAAACAATCATAAGAAAAATGTGATAAAGGACCTCGTATGTCAATATGGATTAACTCAAATGTCTTTGCAGTAGTACTTTGACTCACAGGAAAGGATAAACGTTTTTGCCTGGCGAAATAGCATACATCACAATTGTTGCTATGTTCTATATATATACTAGGATCCATTTGTTTGAAAAATGGAACTCTAGATTGAGAAATGTGGTCTAACCTATAATGGCATAGACTGAAAGTTGTGTTTGAGGCAACAAACTTTAAAGGACTATTGACATGACTCCTATCAACCTTGTAGAGACCATGATGGAACTCAGCAGAACCAATCATTTGCATCTTCAACATGTCATGAATGAAACGAAAACAAGAAAAGAAGGTTAAACATAATGTGTTTCTGCTGGTCAACTTACTCACGGACATCAAATTGAAGCTAAATTCTAGAACAAATAGCACATCTTCCAACAATAGTTTTTTTGAAAATTACGCACATCCTCTACGTGTAGCCTTGACTTTGTGTCATGTAGGCAAGGTGATCTGCACATTTTCACTACCTTTCTCTTAGAAAACATCTTTGGATCACATATAACATGGTTTGAAGCTCTAGTGTCAAGTATCCAGACCTCCTCATTGGTATGAGAATCATGAGGTAAGACAAATAAAGTATACTCGTATGCATCATTGTATTGCTTACTGATAAAAGTTGTTGCAGAATGTGTTGGAAGATGGTTGTTCTAACCTGTGAGACTAGATCCACTACTATCTGCTTTAGTAGACTTCAAGAGCTTCATCAGGACTTCAAGAACTACTATCACAAAGAATCACAACCTCATCCCTCACATTGTCGGGACATTGTTCGGAATTGTTCAAAATGGTGTTGCGGTCATCAACTAGTTGTTGGTCCCATTCCACCTATGAGGCAAGGTTCCCAAAGTTCTCCAATAGGTGTTGGTTCTCAATTCTCTTTTGTGGAAGGCTTTGACGACTTACCAGATGAAGGAGTTAAAGCTTTTGTATTGTCTCACACCCTAAAGGATGCGACAAACAAAAGGCAACAAAGAAGAAAAGTAAGGTAGTTGTTGAGTAGTTAGACATGTACACTACTCAACTGCTAAAGTTTGGTACAAGAGGCAAGTGTGGGAGCGTGAAGCGGAAAAGTGGGCTATTGGGAAGAAAAAGATGGAAGCTGCAATACTTCATCAAAATATGGCTAGTCTGGAGAAGGATTTATCAAGGCTGAAACCAAGAAAGGAGAAGTTTTGGAGAAGTAAACAAAATGACATCTTGGGGTACGATCAAGATGATCCCAACTCTAATCCAAGTGATGGTGGAGATGGAGATGAAAGTGGTGGAGGACATGGAGATGAAAGTGGAGGTGATTATGATCATGTTATAGATTATAATTAGAAGAAGTTCTTATGTGTACTCCATTGCCTTTTTTGTTTTAATGTGTTGTCTTTGAACTTTGTTGTTTTTATGTGCTATGTGTACTCTTTGAACTTTATTATTTTTCATGTGTAATAAAAACTAGTGATATTGAAATATGTTGACTAACTACAAGACACGCTTAATTGAAACATAAAATAAAATAACATATCGAAACTTGAAATGCAAACTACCAAGCAACATGAATTACAATTAATATTGTAGCAATACAATCTACAATTAAACATGACTAGTTATTGCCATGCAAATTCCATAGATGCTCAACCAAGTCATTTTGAAGTGCGGGATGTGTTGTTGAGGAGCGAATCCTATTATTTCTATCAATCAAAGTTGGAATGTGTCAGTTGATTTATTGGGTTGTTCATGGTCCTCATAATCAAGGTCATCCTCCAACTCATTGTCAGAATCAACTTGCTCATCCTCAATTATCATGTTGTGTAATATAATGCATGTTAACTTATATTATTGAGTGAAAACATCCTAAACTCTTGCAGGGGCCACGAAAACTTGTCCAACTTGTTTTGAGGATTCTAAATGCCCGCTTTACATCTTTTTCGTGTGCTTCTTGATGTTGAGCAAACAAAGCTTCTTTGTTGGACCTTGGACTGCTGAAGGTCTTCATTAAAGTGGACTGTGAGGGTAAATACTGTCAGCAAAATAATAACATTAATCGTAAGAATGACCATTTACCTCAAATCGTACATGAGGAGCTTTTCCATTGATGATACGATCAAACACCGAAGACATCCCCAGAACACTTATATCATTGTTTGATCGAGGTGACACAAAGAAAGCATGCCATATCCGTGTATTATATGAGGCCACCGCCTCGAGAATGATTGTTGGCCTATGCATGTGGACATTGTATTGTCCTGCCCAACCATAGGACAATTCCTCCAATCCCAATGTGTGCAGTGAATTGATGCAATCATCCTAGGAAAGCCATGACTTGAGGTTTTGCGCAGTAAGATCTTTAAATCAGTAGGAGTTGGTGCACGAAGGTATGTGGCCTCGTACATGTTGATAATGTTGTTGAAAATCTTTCTGAAGATGTTCATCGAGGTGCTCTCACCCATATACGTACATACTAAACAAGTTGATCAGCGAGAGAACCATATGCTAGCATGCGCATCGCACCGGTAAGCTTCTCCTCTAGAGATAGTGATAGTTGACCAAGGCCATCACACCTTAGAACAAATGAGTATCAAACCTCACAATATCACCCATAATACAATGAAATAATCTTGACTACATCTAATAGTGACTTTTAGATATGTGAGCATTGTAAACTAGATTTGGATAGAAAGAATCCATCAAAAGACGTCGATTACATTCGACCCTTTCACAATCAATGTGAGTACGGGTTGTTGTTTGACATTGACTTGATGAACCTTCAGCTAGCCGTCGACCGATTGAACTCAAACGTAGGTGGTGATGACTTGCATACACTTCGATTTCTTCGTCTCCTCTAGACGATGAGCCATCTAAGATACTCATTATGAATGTGTTTGTTTTAGAAATGAGAACAAGTTATGAGTTGATGAAAAATGAAGAACTGTCATTTATAAGACCATATGCTACACAAAATTACAAAAAACTGTCATAAAGTAATGGCTACAAAACAGGTCATATTTGGAGCGGTCCCGAAGTTAACGGTAACAAATTAACGACTAATTTTCTCAATCTTTTTCGTATCATAATTTTTAAAAATTACCTAAAAATATTTGGTTTTCTGTATTAATAATGAACTATAAAAAATTTGAAGTGAAACATAAAAATTAGAGGCCAAATAAGTACGATTTTTTAAAATAAATTGAAAAACTGTTTGAGAAGTTAAAAAACTGTTTTTGAGAGGATGGGAAACTGAAATCACTTATAGGGTTGGTGTTAGTAGATACAATATATATACATTTCACACCACAAACCTTAGCTTAGGTTCAGTGAAAAGCCCAACCCACATGAATGATATGGGCAGCATACGATGCATGATATGGGCCTGTTGACTAAGTACACCTTGCGTCAGTACCGTCAACACTTGAAACTCTTTTGCTACCTAATTATTTCAGATAGCTAGCATATCAATTAAAACGCTGGAAGTTCTCCAAAAGTATGAAAAGCTGGAGAACTTTGTACCATCCATTCCAGTGTGGTTGAATTCTGTTCAACAGCCCACATCTTTTGTTATTTCCACTGCTTGAAGTGATTGTTACGACCACGAAAAAACGACAAATCCCAAGCCCGTGATTTAAGATGCTTGCTTAATTCGCTTCTACGAGTATATATGTTTCTTAATTTGTTTCTTCATTAAAAAACTAAAAAACGTCAAACAATTGTATCAAATATACGAGGATGGGTTTGAACTTTGAACATTTATCGGCAGAAGGAAAGTTGGTTGGCAAATCTGGTTGCCGGCCTGCAGGTTACTGCTGGGGAAGTTGTAACGAAAATCAACTAATCCGCAATTCAAAATCTGTAGAGACGATCCGCCAATAATTACCCTGGAAACTACCTATACTACTCTTCCCAAGTTTCAGTGCTTGTATCCTTCTTCTCCGCTAAAAAAAATGGATTAATTATTTAATTAGCCAACATATACATAATACATGAGACTTCCGCGTCCAAATATATTCTTATTAATTGACGTGGAAACCTGATACAACAGGAAAAATATATATATTCAGTCAATTACAAAAAATTAAGTCAAGTTGTATAATACCTGCAAACAAATTAGCTAGTAACGGTTGATTATAGGTGAGATTTTTTCCTTCTTTTGAGTAATTAGATTTTGAGTTATTGAGTATTCCGGTCCCCAAATGATACGACTCGTAATAATACTTGTAAAATTTTCTGTTTAATCAATCAACAAATGCAAATTTGTTGATGGTACTGTGTGATGATGCAAGTTATCGGATTGAGGAAATTCCACGACATTTTCGCTAAATTTTTTAACTGAGGAAACAAAGTGAAAAAAAAATTAATGAATTCAAAAGATTAATAGTGTGGAAAGATAAAATTAGGCAAGTGAACATAATTAAAACTATCTTAAATAATTTACATGACTGTACTGAGAACAATTAGTTATATACGTGATTGGTACTGCATGATTTCTTTTGACACTATTTGTGAAGAGATCGATGACAAGAAACCAAAAGAAGAAGAAGAAGAAGAAGAAGAAGAAATGAATTCTAAGATAAGCAATATCAAAAACCTCTAGAATTCATAAGCGTATATTGTTACAAACTTTTTCCTTGGCTAGGAATCCAGCGCGTGTTCGGCAACGTAACCAAGAGCGTCTTTGTAATTCCCCCAGGCGTCCGACAGCAAAGTGGTGAGCAAATCCGAGACTTCCTGCCCCAGCTCCGGCAAGTCCTTGAGCAATCCTTCCAGCGAGTTCCGGGTCTGCTCCACCAGCCCACCCACCGCCGACCCGGTCGTCGTCAACGACCCGACGATCGCCTCCAAAACGGCGTCGAACGCCGCCGAAACGGCCGAAGTGGCCGCTTCCCAGACGAGCTGGAAGATGTAGTCCAACACGGACTTCAGGCCTTCCCCGATGTGGCCCAACCCGGTCTGGGCCGCCTGGCCCGGGACTCGGAGTCCTTGGATGATCAGGACGACGAAGTGGGCCGTCGCGCTGAAGATGGCGCGGGAGATTAGGTTCGACACTGCGCTGATCGTGAAGAAGATTAGCCTCACCAGCAACACGATCATTCTTAATTAAATCTCTAGTTCGGCTTGATTAATTATGGAGAGTTGAGAAACGAAGGAGAAGGAGAAGGGGAGGAAATGCGTGTTTGTTTGGAGGAAATAATGATAATAAGACGAATAATATTATGAGAATCTGGCTTGGATTAAATTTTTATTTATATGGACGTTGAATTAATGCAGGGGCAGGGGGTTGATCCATCTGTAATATGTGACGTCGAGTTTTTATTTTTTTATTTTTATTTTTTTATTTTTATTTTTGGGTTTGTGGAGTAGTTGTTGTCCTCACTCATCACGTATTGTGGGGGATTTTAAAAGCGATTAGTAAACTTTTCTTATTGTTATAGGTTAATTATTACTACTTGGGGTCTTTTAAATTCGGGTTCTGCAACTAATACATAAACATTATTAAAAGTAATGGTTAATATGATGTAAGCTGGCTCTTATCTAATTTTACTTGGAATTATAAATTATTTAATAAGTGGTGATACACGAAAGCAAAAATAAAATTAAAAGAACTTTGTTATAAGAGTTGGAAGGTTGATAAATCTCAATTTTATTTAATCGACTTTTATCATACAAACACAAAACGGTGTTTGGCCGTTGTGGGTGTGATGTATTTATTCGAATTAAACATTAATTGATTGGGTTTGTAAATGCGAAAACATACATCTCTAGAAAGGGAGAAGAAGTGTGGATTGCTTTTCTGGCAATTGCCTTGCTTCAGAGCCAAAACTTGCCGAACCCTACAAGTTAAAGGAAGATGATGTGAAAGCCATTGTTTTGGTACATAATTATCACATACACAGAGTTGAAGAATTCGAAACTTAGGAACTTAGGGTTAGTTTGGAAGTTGCATTAGTTTTGTTGAGATTGTCATTATGTATGTATTGTTTACAATGCATCGTTTTTTTGTTTTTTAGCAGAAACAATATATGGATTGTTTCTGTGATGTGACAGAAACTATCACTCATTTTGAGTGATTGTTATATCTCAACTTTTAGTTGTGATTGTTGAGATAGTTGAGTTGAGATTGTTTTGTCTTAGCTTTTAGCTGATGCGACATACACAAACACACATACCAAAAATTGTATTTTACAATGCATCAAATTCGACAATACATATATAATATTATACATGCATTCTAAACAATACATCTATTTAACAATCGCAACTTCCAAACGACCCCTTAAAGTCTTGCGCGCATCCGCTTCTGATCGGAACCAGCCCATTTGATACAAGGAGAAGATCCATTCCATCACGAGACAATTTTGTAGTATAGGATACTCTTTTAGTTATGGTTGGTAGAATCTGGTTGCACCAGAAAGGCGACTCCCTTTTCTATAATTCGTTTACAACACCGTCCAATCACAGCGCAACTGTAAGTAAGCCCTCTGGATTCAAGGAAGTCATTAATCAATTTGTGAGGGAAGTTTTGAGCTTCGGAATGAAGAAAATTCAACATTCGTGGAATATAAACTAGAATCGGAAATTTCTTATGAAAATATTCCGAAGCTCTCAAAATAGACAATATAACTTTAATAATGATAATTAATTGTGACACCAATGATGGCATAGCCTAATTGGTGAACCCTTATTGGAGGCTCGTTCTGGACGTGTGAGATACGAAATAGGTAGGGTAAAAAATGCAAAAATGCATAGGAACCCTACTTGCCCGGTCAGAAACACACACACAAAAAAATGTTTACGAACAACGCCAAAGAAAATCTCAAAAAGAGAATAAAGATTTGCTGAGAAAGTGAGAAAAAGAACCATACAGAGCAAACATTCAGTCTACCTACACCGATAAATCCATTTATGGGGTTTGTAAGTTGTAACATAGGTATCGTAAACATGGGGTTTGTAACTATTTCGGAGGGTAGTGATTCTTCATGAACTTCCCAGTTGAGCTATAAAATCGTAAAAGGAACTTTGTGGCAGGACTAAGAGATGAGAATGGCGATTGGATTACTGATGAAAAAGGAAATGCTGATATTGCTACTAATTTCTATGGCCATCTTTTCACTTCTGAAAATCAGGTTCTTAATATGGGGGAACGAGTTGATGGTCTGCCTATCGCTCGTAGTGTTACCCCGGAAATGAATGCTGGCCTGACAGCTGCTGTCCTCCCGGAGGAGGTGCGTAAAACTGTCTTCGCGATGGGTTCTAAACAAGCACCCGGTTCTGATGGTTTCACGGGCAAATTCTTTAAGGCCTTTTGGGGAATCGTGGGTGACTCGGTAGTTGACGCAGTCTGCTCGTTCTTTATGACTGGTAGGATGCTCCGTAATTTCAATCACACCTGACTCACTTTGATCCCCAAAGTGGATAATGTAGAGTCTATGAGGCAGTTGCGCCCAATCAGTTTATACCAGTTTGTGCATAAAATTATAACCAAGATCATGGATGAACGATTATCGTGCCTCTTACTCCATATAGTCTCATCAGGCCAAAATGCTTTCATTCGGGATCGCCAAATTGTTGAGAATATCCTCCTTGGTCATGAGTTAATGCATTACTTGAAGATCAAAAAGCAAGGTAAGAGGGGTACATGGCTCTTAAGGTTGACATGGAAAAGGCCTATGATAGAGTTGAATGACCGTTTATTCTTGCGATTTTGGACAAGATGGGTTTTAACTCAGTTTGGAAGGGTTGGATACATGAATGCCTCTGGTCTTCGTCTTTCTCTGCAATGATGAATGGTACTCCGTCTGGGTTCTTCAGACCGTCGCGGGGCTTACGACAAGGAGATCCTTTGTCCCCTTTTCTTTTTTTGCTCTGCACAGAGGGGTTTGCGGCACTCTTGCGTAAGGCGATCGCGGATAAGCAGCTGGCAGGGTTTAAGGTGGCCCCGCGTGCCCCGCGGATCTCACACTTATTCTTTGTTGATGATTCTTATATGTTTCTGCGGGGAACGCTCCAGGAATGTGAGAATTTGATTACTGTCCTGAAAGAATACGAGGAACTGAGTGGGCAGTGCGTCAATTTGGCTAAATCGACGGTATGCTTCAGTAAGAATATTGCTCTGCCGGACCAGGAATTCTTAGCTACGATACCGGGGGTTGGGGCGGTTGGGGTGCAGGATAAGTATCTGGGGCTCCCCACTTTGATTTCTCGTTCTAAAATGGAGACCTTCCGTTATTTGGAGGAAAAACTGTTGGAAAGGCTACAGGGCTGGAAACGGTGAACTTTGTCTTGGGCAACGAAGGAGACACTTATTAAATCCATTGCCTTGGCTTTACCGTTGCATGTAATGTCCTGTTTCAAGATGCCTCTCTCGTTGTGTTGCCTATTGGACAAACATGTTGCTCTCTTTTGGTGGGGTGATGAGGAGGGACACTCGAGAATCAGGTGGATGTCCTGGAGGGATATGTGTAGGAGTAAACATGAGGGGGGAATGGGCTTCCGTCGGTTTGAGCATTTTAATCAAGCCCTTTTAGCTAAGATTGGCTGGCGTATCTTGGTTGAGCCTCAGTCTCTTCTAGCCCAAGTCTAAAAGGGCAAGTACTTCCTCTCGGGGTAATTCATCAATCCTAAAGCTAGGTCTCGTCCATCTTGGGGTTGGCAAAGCATCTTGTATGGTCGACAATTATTGGAGATGGGTCTCAGATGGCAAATTGGGAATGGGCGATCGGCGTCTCTACTTCGGTCCCCCTGGATTCCTCGGCTGCAGCTTAATCCTCCGAGGTATAATCCGGTGGTTCTACCGAAGGGGGGTGATCCTACTGTGGCTGATGTAATTTGTCAAGGGGAGGGGCGTTGGTGTGATCTCAAACTCATCCAGTGGTTTGATCCACCTACTTGTCGTATTATAAAAACTATTCCCCTTCCCCGGCAGAAGCTTGAGGATAAACTGATATGCCGCATAATACTCCTAATGGGGTGTTCTCGGTCAAGTCAGTCTACCATTTGGCGGTCTCCTTTGATAAGAGAAAGGGTCGGTGAAAGGCGTCGGCTAGTTGGATCCGGTTGTGGGAGGCGAATATTCCCCCTAAGCTGAAAGTCTTTGTTTGGCAAATTCTGAATTGAATTATCCCCACCATGGAGGCCCTAATTGCTCGTAAAGTCTCTATCCTCCCTCGTTGTCCAGTCTTTTGGGGTGGCCCGGAAACCATGGAGCATCTGTTTCTGGATTGTCCGGTTGCGCGTGCGATTTGGGGCCATTCGGGGCTAGAATACTTAGGGGGAGGGATTGCCTTGGCATACTTTTCCTCTGTTTCTTAAGCATTTAATGGCCTTAATTCAGCAGCCGACGCTCCTTATGGCAGTTGTCTCTGTCCTTTGGTGCATCTGGAGGTCTAGAAATTGGGTGGTGTTTGAAGGAAAGCAATTTGGATTCCCCGCGTTAATACGGCAGTTGTCCCAGCAGTATGAGGAATGGGTGGGGTTGCCGGCGGATGAGCCCCCCATGCTTTCTCCCCCGATTGTTCCACAGTCAGGTTGTTGGGGTGGCTTGTCAATGGGACGAGGCTATCAGGAAGGGATCACATTCCGCAGGTGGCATGGTCCTTCTGTCTCCATATGGGGATGTTCTTATGGCTAAGGGGATTTGGTTTCAGGGGATTGATGACCCAGATGTGGTGGAGATGCTTGTGCTCCGGGAGGCTATTGCTTGGTGTTTGGGGCAGGGTTTCACGGGGATGAGATTCGAAGGGGATGCCAAGGTCATCATTGATAAAATCAATTGTAAGGATGCTAGTGATAGCCGGATGGGTGCCATTTTGGAAGAAGTCTTACAATGTTTTGGTAGCAACTCTGGGCTTAGTGTGCGGTTTGTAGGTCGGCGTAGTAATAGGGTAGCCCATTTGGTGGCTAGAAAAGCCCTCTCTTTGTACCCCCACTACGAGTTGTTTCTTTGATTTTCGGGCATGGCTTGGGTCCAGGATGTAACTATCTATGTTTTGGTATCAATATATGATTAACTTTTGTCAAAAAAAAATGACACAAATGGCCAAAAACTGATCAAACTCATATCAAGTCCTAAGATATGATTGAAGAAGTACACTTAGCATGAAATCGAACTAAAATGATCAAAGTATGATAATTATGACACTAAAAACTAAGAAATGAGAAATGAAATATTTATAAATTGTGCACTATCAAGTCCTCTCACACTTAAATGTTTGTTTGTCTTCAAACAAACTATTTATATCACCAGCTTTGTCAACAATAAAGATAATAACAACCACTACATATGACATTCAACTGCAGACTGCAGTACATAAGATTTCATCATACTATACCCAGTGGCGGACCCAGAAATTTTTCATAGGGGTGTCCTCTTTTAAAAAATAAATTTAATAAAAATAAAATCGTAAATATGAAAATACCTTACTCGTACAGGTTATAAAAGTTCATGATGTGTTTTCATATTCGAAAATAATTTTAGAATACACTTGGTGTTTATAGTGTAAAAAAAATTCTCCATATACCCTACTAGACAATCAATCAGGAACTTATTGCATATTCGATTTGTAAACTTGTTCTTGATGTAACCCAAAACTGAAAGGCTCTTCAACACTTGCCGTACAATCATAAAATCAATACAAATTAAGGGTAGATTGAAATTAGTTTAGATTGAAATAAATAGAGATAGGGAATGACTTTTTACTATTACACATTGTTCAAAATCGAACAACAAATGAGTTGTAGCTCAACGGAAATTAAGTTTATTAATAATAATGGTGTTCTAGATTTGAATTACACAACCTACCATTTATATTTTTATACACAAATGACAGTAGGATAATCATTTTTTCAAATTTCAGGGGTGTCCCTCACTATCATTTTTTTTGTCTATACGTAAATTACCACCGGGGGTTGGATAATCATTTTCCCGAAATTTAGGGGTGTCCGGAGACACCCCTAAAACCCCCTGGGTCCGCCCCCGACTATACCATCATGGTATGGAATCTTATATATGATGTTGTAGTACAAAGAATATCATCATGACGTAGCACATACTATGATGTCAAGGGAGATGTTTACCACGTCGGTTATACACTATACAGTAGGTGCTTCGGTGCCATATCATACCAGTATGGTAACGAATGGTATAACATCAATTCTAATCCATGTTAATTTACACAGAAACTGATATTTCATGTTTCTCCATTACCAATAAGCTTTTGAAACAACTAAACAAGAGACAGAAATCTTGCTATATCATTTTCTACTTGTGAGTTTCAATCGACTAAGCAAGATACAACGTACATGTATATTTAATTTGTAACAAATTGAAGGACTAGAGAAACTTCTACGAGGAGTTCCCTTGAATCCATAGCCTGGCGATTCAACTTGATGATTCAATGATTCTTCAAATGAATTGTGAGCCTGTTGATGGACGGTTCTGTAATTGGAGATAATTAAGTTCTTTTCACAATTCTTGTGAGTTTTTTTTTTTTTCAAGATCTTCACTCTTTTAAGAGATAAGAAACGAAAATGAAAATCTAAGGGAGATATTTCGAGTGAGAAAACAAATCTTTTGCTCAAGTTGTATAGAAAACAAATCTTCTGTTTTTCTCTCTTAAAATGCTCAAGTTGTATAGAAGAGAAAAAAACAGAAAGAATTGTCTAAACACACTTTTATTTTCTCGAATTTGTCAGATGGGGTGATGATTAAAAGTGCACTTTTACATGTACAGTATCCTTATCCAATCGTTGTGATCTATATGCAATAAACGGTTTTTGGGAGAAAATTCCAAAATACATATGTTTGAACATCATTGCGGTCTTCAACTTTGAATGTCATAACTTTTTTGCTTATTAATCCGACGTGATAAAGTTTTTTTTTATTGCGCATAAATTCTTAAGAACTACAACTTTTACCAGGAAATTTTTTTAAAAAAGAGAAATATTCTTGGGTATACAAGATTTTGGGAATAACTTTGACTTTACTTTTTACAAATCCATATACATTCCAAAATTATGGTTATAATAAAAGTTGTAGTTCTTCAAAAGTTATGCGAATTCAAAACAAGTTTCACGACATTCGGATTGCAGATCACAAAGTTATGGTCTTCCAAAGTTTGTCGAAATCGAAAAATTGTTTGTTCGGGGTAGCAAATGACATTTTTTTGGGATGAAAGCTTATTGCAGATTAAAAGATCTTGAAAAATTGTGAAATAAAAAAAAAATCGCTACAAACGGATAACCGAACGCAAAGTTGCGTTCGTTTGAAGTTTCAGTGTTAGATCATGTATTTTGGAATTTTCTCCGGTTTTTGGGTGATTATTGGAGTGGTTATGCAAGGTTATAACTTATAAACAAAGATCAATCCTGTAACATCGCAGTGTATTCACTGGAATTCACTCCCAATTCCCTGCTTTTCGCAGTTGCGTTTGGCAACCAACTTGCAGCTCATAGGAGGCATGATTTTTTTCAGGACTTGAATGCCTTATTCCATACATGATAAGTAGACTCATAAGAGGCCTGTGTTTCTTAAACTGTACATCATATTTACTATCCACAAACCTCTATATATACAGCAAACCAAAAAAGAACTCAGACTCACAATGCTGGAACCTCCTCTCTTAACTAACATCCTAATCTCCCTAATTGTTGTCAATCTCCTTCAGCTTAAACACAGAGTTCACATACTCTTCCGTGTCCCATAGAAATGTTCCGAACGCAGCTGCTTCCAAGACCAACCTCCTCAGGCTCGAATATGAGGTCACTATAGTCTCATCGCTCGCCACCAGACCAGTCTTCTCGTCCATGAAAAGAGCACAACTGTACTTCTGGATCAAATTCAAAGCCTCCTTTGATTTCAACCTCGCACATCTTTGCAACGACTCAGCGTCGAATCCCATTACGTAGGACCTCAAACTCTGACGACTCTTGGAATCCCGTTTAGATGAACCATGGCCAAAGATCAGATTCGACGGCCCATGGTTGGACCTCTCTGAATACAGACGACCTGAACTTTGAGCGAGATGGAGGTGATCATTCTGAAGCACATCTAGAGATCGATCCAAGTGATGCCTCAGCGAGGCAGACTTGAGAAAGTATCCATATAGGATGGAGGCAGCATACATCTGACCAAGGTGTACCTGCTGGATCTCCGTCGTGGCCCAAGTATCAGTGACGCTTGAATCCGATCGAAGGCCAATCACAGTGGAGACATGTTCCTTAATCATCTCTAACACGTCGAACGAATGTATAGACTCCAGCTCCCAGTCTTTAGCAGGCCAGATCTCCAGTCTGCCATTGTAAACACATTTAGAGAGCTTTGGAACCAGAGGGACCCTGATCTCCGAGAATCTGTATAGAACCATCATATACATGACATCTTCGACTGCAACTTGGCACTCCTGCTCTTTTAATCCAGCAATCCTCCTGGAATCATGAAGACGGTTTTATCAGGAAAGTGGACCATTGAAAATATGCATTAACAGGTATTTAGCCTATCACGTTATTGGACAACCATGTATGTCTACCACATTGGTCACTTTATTACCAAGTCACCACCCTGGTGAATGGATGGAGGCACTTTGCCATGTATAGATAACAAACCTAAACTCAAAAAAACTGTTTCCCTCATTTGTCAGACACAAAAGGCTCATTTGCAGTTTCAGGCAACGTTAATGAAGTGTTCATTTGGTTCTCAGTGTCTCTGTCAAACAGATAGGAAAGAGGTTCGCCCTTTATCCGGTTAATAAGAAGCAATAAATGGCATTCCTAAAGGAAGAGAATTGCAGTATCGTCGATAAAAGCTTACAGGTCCCACTAGATTGTCTGCCTCAAGTCAAGGTCTACATACTTGCTTCCCCAAACCAAAACACAAAGCAAGCAAAAGTGATAAGAAGACCACAGTTAATCAGCTGCAGCACAGGGAGTAGGCTATACATTATTGCACAGGGCTGACTTTATACCAAACCTAATCTACATAATTAACATGACTGACCATCTCCAATGAACTCCATTAGAGAGTAACAGAACCACAAAAACAGCAACAACCTCTACTGTAAGCAATTGAAGAAGCAGCAAGTATCCAAGTATGCAAGGAACAACTCAACCAGGCTATAACTTGCGCTTCATAAAGATAAAGCCATAACTGAACAGTAAGAACAGAGTTGACAGAGGAACTCATGTCACGTTCTGCAGTGACCAAATTTTGCTATGAAAATCAGTGACGCGATGCTTCATAATAGGAAGCAAAGTAACTAACTTGCAGCCAATTTCATCTTTCTGGGTTTGGAAAAAGAATCGTACAGTGAATTTCTTCGGAGCCAAAAAATTAAATCAAGAAGAACAAAACCCAACTAGGAATGGAATTGGAAAGAGCAACTACATATATATCAGAGTAATTGAACAAGCAAGCAACAAAAACCTGTGAAGGACAGCTTCATCGGAACCAGAGCTGCGCAGCAGGCGAGCCGCAGCATCATCCCTCTCCCCGGCCAAAAGCTTCAGCTCATCGGCAACGGCGAGATGAAACAGCTGCTTCTGGTTCTGAAACACGCCGCTCAGGAACCTACCAGCAGCTGAACGCGGCTCCAGCGGCGTGTTCAGGCTTCCGCTACTGCTGCTGCTGCTGCTGCTGCTACTACTGGGCTCACAGTGGCTCGACCCAGCTCGAGCCACAACAACCGCTGATGATCTCCGATGAACAACCAAGGCAGTACTCCCTCCAAGTCCGTTGCAGGACTCGAACCGGAAGGTCAGGCTCCGATATGGATTCCGGCTATCACTGTGGCGGGAACTCAGCGAGGAAGGGAGGAGGAGGCAGTGATTGGATAGAGTCAATTCCATTGGGGAAACTGAACAACGGATTGCTTTGATGTGGAGAAAGGGGTTTTGGGGGGGATGTAGGATTCGTTTGGTTTTTTCCCGATCGGTTTGTGAAGCAAGCTCAGCGAGAGAGGAGAAGGAGGGAGTCGTATATTATATAGGCCAATTATGGTTCCCACCCAGTTGCAGCGAATGGATAGGGTTCGGGGGGAGAAAAGGAAAAAAAGAGTGAAGAAAGAAGGGCCGGCAAAGAGATGGAATCCGGTGCGTCCTGGCTCATTGTGGGCAGCTGGTCTTGAGTGGGGTCAACCCTCGATGTTGACGTTGGATAGAGTAGAGGTAGAAACACGCAACAACGCGGTGAGGCATTTTGAGTAGAGTTCTGTTTTTATTACCCGATATTAATTAATTTCATTGCTCTGATCGTCTTAATTAATCATCACTAAACTCTAGAGTTTGATTAAAAAAAATTTACTAATAATGGAAGCAAGAGATTGTTCGTTAATAAATTATTAAATAAATAAATGAGAGAATCAACCACAAGTTAGCACAAAAAGGAATTGTGTTGTGTATTATGTTAATAAAATAATTAAATTCGGGTAAAGTATGAGAATAAGATTTCTTCTTAGGTTAATATTTTGAAAATTTTATAAGAATTTGATCTAGTGGTAATATCACTATTCTATAAGCTAGACGTCACATGTTCGAATAGTACGTTAATTATCTTCTGAAAAAATGTTATGAAATTGCCGAAACAAGAAAGTTTGAAGGAGAAACGGAAAGGAGATAAGTTGCCGACTGAAAGTGAGTGATAACTGATACTGTAGAATTGCTGAGCTGGAGAAGGATAAGGGGAAGGGGAGCTTCAATCTTGTTTTCTCCTAAATTTGCCCAAATATGGTTTTCTTTTATTATTATACGGGGGGAAAAATTGGATCGGTTCGGTTAGGTTAGTCTACCCAATTGAATGCTATGATTGGGGTTTGAGGAAGTGATAAGGACTGAGAAGCAGGTGTAGGGAATATCTATAGCTGGGCCTGGGGAACATATTTGATATTTCCAAAGTTGTCAAACCGGTTTATGCCAGTGTGCCAGTTTAGCAAGTGCAATGGTTCAACCGGTGGTACTTATCGGTTTGTGCCGGTTCATACCGGTTAATATTACAAATAATTTACAAATACTCATATTTGAACATGACATTTAACTTAAATACCTAAATATTTGTACTTGAATCCAACAAATAACATCAACATTTAACTTTTTAACACATAAAACAAATAATAAACTACTTTTTATCAATTAAATTCACTAAGATAAGATAATTTTATTTGGAGATTCGTATATCGATCGTGCCGGTCATACCGGTGGTGTCATGCCGGTTTTATGACTGGCACAGGTTGAACCAGGTTCAACCAGTGACACGCCGGCCGGCGTGACAACCATGGATATTTCCAATAGACAGCAGCAGCAACCACTTGACCTTTTCGTTTTTTATTTGGAATCTATCAATGACCATTTAAATATAAATAAGTACAATGTTAAGTTATGTTTGGCTACAAAAAGTTCAACTAACAAGGGCAGGATCGAAAGAGGAATGATTAAAAATCGTACTAAAAATTACTAATGATCGTCCTAACTTAACATGTAAATTATTGAGTTGCCTGTTTTAAATTTTAAATAGAAACACAAAACAAACATTATTCCCTTCCTTTTAGCGGCGGATCCAAGACATAGTAGTGTATTGGACTGCATTTGAATAAAATATTAGATACCGCAAACAAAAATATATAATAACTATAGTTTTCATTCATTAAAATGTCAATTCAACTAAAATGTCTTTTAATTTGGCAAATCTATCAATAACATAATCTTCCTCCATCCTCCATACCAATAGCATACTCTCTCAAATAAAATAGCTAAACAAGAAATTTATCGCTCATTTTGTTGCGCAATTTAGTTTCCACGTGTTTCATTGCACAAAATGTTCTCTCTATGCTAGTCGTTGAAACAGGCAAGGTCAATACTAGACGAATCAACCGAAAAATCAATTTGTATTGTGTATCCATCCCAGTTTCCGCCAACTTCTCTAGTAATTTTGCAAGAGAAGAAACTTCATATTCCTGATTAGAAACCACATGAGCGGCATAATATCATAGCTCATTTTTCAAAGAATGCATCTCATAGTCTTCAAAGTCTCGAAGGTTTATTTCAATGAAACTTTATACTTAGTCTTTTACGGTTTAGACTTTTAGTTTTTATTGTTTTTTTTTTCAAAATGAATTTATTCGGGCTAGAATTTATAGGCTAAATTTAGAGTAGTGGTTTGGATATATTCATCTAGACCATTTTCCAAGTTACACAAAATCATATCATCAAATAACACTCTACCAACTTTTAACTAAGCCGAATACCCAAAATTGAGAAATTTATAAACAGTATACTAGCTCTGAATTCGGAGAAGAGCTAGCTTGTATATTTTCGTGGTACCCGGATATTTTACCCAATAAAAAAATAGCGAAATCAAAGACCACACAGTCACAGGAGAAGATTAACCGTCACATTAAAGCCTATGTCTCCTTCCATGACAATCTCGTATATTAGTAGCTCCAGGCCGGCTTCCCGAAGAGATTTGCACCGGCATTGTCCATATTAATTCTCTACTTAACTACCACGATTTCAAGCGTCACATTGAACCGCAGAAGCATGTAGTAATTTTCAGTTTCACCCAGAAAACTTTTGGAACATGGAAAGGCACCAATTTCGCCATTGTATAGTAAATGCTTCACTTCGAATTCTATTATTTCAACATCATCATCAACATATATTCATCTCCCTTGGTGTTTCCAAATTCGCTGTACTCGCATTTTATTCACGGTGGCGATTAGCAGCCCTTCCCTTACATAACCCTCTCTGCTTTCCCCTGTTTCTTCATCTTACCATCCAACAGGCAAACAACAATCAAAATGGCGGCCCACTCCTCCTCCTCCTCCAAAGTCACTCTGAAACTTCTAATTGACACGAAAACACGCAGAGTGCTTTTCGCGGAAGCAGGAAAAGAATTTGTTGATTTCTTATTCGCACTCTTTTCCTTGCCTCTTGGATCAGTGACGAAGCTCTTGTCCACCGACAACATGGTTGGCTGCCTTGGAAATCTGTACAAGAGCATTGAAGACCTCAGTGGCGCTTTCATTCAGCCCACCCAGAGCAAGGTCACGATTCTGAACCCAAAATTCCTCTCCTGTTCCGCCATGAACAACACCCTTTTGTTACCCAACCATGAAAACAACGAATCTGCAGCAAAATGAAAGATCTATCTCTGTAACTCCTGCTACCAGAGTGGGAGTTCTTCTAATTCATATCATCACTCTGGGTTTGGAGGCTTTAATCATGGAACATTTACCCTTACCCGCCATGAGATATTTGTGACTGATAACCCAAAAGCTATTTGTCGACATTGTAATCGAGCAATGAGCTACGAGGCCAAATTTATCGACGCAGCTCCTAAAAATGTGGCGGAGATTGAAAACAGGGAAGAAGATGGTGGCGGGTTCGTGAAGGGGGTTGTGATTTACATGGTGATGGACAATTTGGAGGTGAGGCCAATGTCAACCATCTCCGCCATTGCTTTGCTTAACGAATTCAACATTGGGGAAGTTGGTCTGCTTCAGGAGAAGGTCGTTGAGCTCGGCATGGCTGAGGTGATCCTCTTTTTCCTTCTCTATATATGGGTTTTGATGCATGAAAGTTTTGTGCGGGAAAAGTGGCTTTCATTGGGTTTTCTGTATGTTTTATGGTTTGTTCACTGGTTTTAGGGGTTGAAAGTGCTCAAGGCTTCTCTGCACACCAAGACAGTCCTAACCACCGTTTTCCTTGGACCATGAAGACACTATCACTCAATAAGCATCATGTAGGATCCGAACTGCGCAATTTTGGTGTTGGCCTTCCTGTTTTGTGTTAAATTTGGGACTCGCAAATATCAATTATTTGTATTCTGGGGTTCCTCGGTTGTTATGCTTTTTTATTTGTTGATTAATAGTATCACAAGCGAATGATCTCTCCACATAAATAAGTGATTGTTAAAGACACAAGCGAATTATCTCTCCACATAAATAAGTGATTGTGAAAGACGTTAGGAAAATACGATTCTAATTTTTGGACCATGTATATTTGACCCACTTACTACTTCCGGATTAACCACGACTAGCTTTTGTCTCTTGCGTGGTAAAGTTGAAGGTTGTTTCACCCTCCAGGGGCATGATAAGGATTTTTTTATTTCCGAGTGACATCAAAATAAGACAAGAGTTATACAAATAAAACTATCCAGAAATCCGCAACAAGCAACACCCTAGTGAAGCCACCCAAAAAAATTGAAAGACTACCACTATGAGAGACAAGCAGGATAAACCCTAGTGGTGCAACAAATTATTTTCTCGTACATATCACACACATCTCTGTCTCTATTGTATTTGTCTCTTGTACTCTTATGTGTTTATCAGATAAACCATAGTGGTGCAAATGGTGATTAGAGCCAGAGCCAGCCTTATTATGCATCAAATTCAAGGGTATCGAAGGAAGTATAGAACAGTCCTGCTCGAAAAAGCAGTTAGAACAGATATAATAAAACTTGACAAAACATTCTCATATTTTACAACAGAATTGAGCAAGAAAACCCTCTTCCCACCAAAAAAGGGTAATATAATTGCATTATCTCAATGATCCTAAATTCTATCACTGTCATCAGATTACAAGACATTTAAAGAATGCTAATACAATGATCAAAACAGAACGAGCAGCCTGGTAAATTAATGATTGGCTGAATCATGATCTGCAAACTCTAATAACCTGCCTTTTCTTTATCCAATCTCAAGCCAGCCTTCCGCTCGGAACCTTGCAGCGTCCCATACCTGCGAGAAGATTAGACCGTCAGGCGTCAAGTCAAACTCCTAATTAGTAATTACCATGGAAATAAACAGCCAACAACAAGAAGTAAGAAAAAGTCCAATTACTGAGATGGCCCAACTTACTTGGATCCTTGGCTGTGAGGGCAGCGAGCCCATTGAAAGAGCAAGTCCCGCCCAGCTTCTTAAACTGGGCCCAATACGCGCTGAAGGCGTAACTCGCGTGCCAACTCAACGAGTCGGGCTTAAAGCACTTCCCACCGGGCTGAAGCGGGTCGCAAATCCCCTTCCCCTGCGAGCAAGCCCAAGACAACGCCTCCGCCAGCGCAGTCTCGTTCGCCGACCCCTCCGCCGCCACCACGCACCAAAGCTCCCCCTTGAACGGCTCGTTGTTCGTCGGCGGCGGCAGCGGCTTCTTGTACTCGGAGAGCGGCGTCTGCCCGCTCAGATCGATCTCGTACACCGCCGTCCCGTTCGGGTACAGGAGCCCGAAATGGCGCTCCGTACCGGGGCCGCCCTTCTGGTTCTCGTTGAACAGCGCGAAGAGGATCGACGGGATGACGACCCCGGGCCGGGCCGGGGTCCCGATCGGCGGCTTGGCGGTGAGCTTCTTGACGGCGTTGCGGTTGTAGACGGCGGCGTTGTAGATGCTGGCCCCGATCTGGTCTACGTCCCCGGCGCTGGGCCAACCCGTCTCGGCGATGAAGATCCGGATGCCCGGGTACCCGAGCCGCTTCATAGCGAAGATGACGGCGTCGACGATCTGGTCAAAGAGGTTGGTGTAGGTCAGGTTGGAGAGCGGGTCGGTGTAGGTCACATTATGGGCCTGGAAGAGGGCGTAGTCCAGGTTGATGTTGTTGGGCTCGGCGGCCCACGGGAAGTAAGGGTAAACGTCGAGGAACATGAAGGACCGGGTCCGGTTCAGGAACTGGAGCATGGGCTTGATGACCGGGACGGCGATGTCGGAGCGGAAGGTGCCGTTGGACGGCGGGAAGGAAGATTCGAGAACGTTGGTGGCGTGCGGGGTGCCGACTTTGACTTTGTGGAGGCGGAATTTGCGGAGGGAGAGCTTGACCCGGCGCATCGCGGGGACGAGATTGAACCAGGTGCCGACATCGGGGTTGGTTAGGATCTCGTTTCCGACGAGGAGGTAGCGGATCTTGGTGGAAGGGTAGAAATGGACGACGTTGGTTCGGACCCAGCGGTCGGAGAAGGACTGGGAGGCGGAGACGTTGGGGATGAGCTCGTTGGGGATCATGACGGAGACCTGGATGTCGGTGCCCTTGAGGGCGCGGAGGATCTTGGGGTTGGCATCGTAGAGTTTGACCCGTTTGGCTCTGAGGGATTTGATTAGCTCGACGGACGTCGCCGGCGAGGGGAGGTTGTTCCCCAGCTGGCCGTAGTTGACGCCGGCCCTGCTCGAGATCTCGGCACCTGCGGGTTAACACAGAAAACAGAGTCAGATTGATTGATTGATTGATCAAATTAATTAATGTAGAAAGGGGAGAAGGCATTTTACCGGAGAAGGAGAGGAAGAGAGCAAGGATGAAGAAACAAAATAGGGGTCTAACTCTGGAGTGGTTCTTCATCGTTGCTCTCAGAAGCAGGAGGAGGAGGGGATTTGGGGTGGGAAAGCGTGCTGAGCTGAGCTAGGGTAGAAAGTGACAAGGGAAGGGAAGAGTTGAAGAAGAAGAAGAAGAAGAGAGAGGAGTGGAGCGCTTTATAGAAATGGAAACTTAATCTAACTTATTTATTTATGAGAATTGAGATTTCATTTGAGAGTGGGTGACTGAGCGAGGGGAACAAGAAAGAATTGGGAATATCGTCACTTTTTTTTGTTTTTTTAGTCTTCTGGATTATGATGCTATCTTTTTTTTTTTTTCCCTTCTTCTTTTTCTGTGGGCTTTGTGGGAAAAGGTTAGTAAAAAGGTCAGAAAGTGATACTTAAGAACGTTTAAGGGGTCCATGGAAGTGTGAGAATGAAGATTAGTTTGAGACGGGAATCGCAAAATGTACTGTTAAGTACAATTTGCTAAGATGTGAGAGCTAGGATTCAGGATCTGTATGAAATGGTTATAAAAGCGTAGTTAGAAATCATTAGAACTTAGAGAGGATGGAGGCAAAGGAAAATAAGTTATTCCATATACTTTACTTATACTGGAGAATAAAAAGCTGAATGGTTAAAGGTTGTCCTAAAAATTACTAACTATCGTCCTAACTTAATATGTAATTTACCGAATTGTCCATTTTGAATTTCAAAATCAAACACAAAACAAACACCCCCTCCCCTTCCATAAATCTAAAAAAATATAAACCAAAATCCAACAAATTATCTTATGGACCGAACCATAAATCGTAGTAAAAGAATAGAAAATTATTGATATAAAACAAAAAATCCAAAAAAATTCCGAAACCCCTCAACGAAGCCAATTTTCGGTTGTACCATGGCTCAACCTAAGGCAATTTTCGGTTGGTTACCATTGCCTTAGGTTGAGCCATGGTACAACCGAAAATTGGCTTCGTTTGAGGGGTTTTGGGTTTTTTTGAAAAAAAAATCGGATTTTTACCTCATCAGAGTCGCTACTCATGATTCGGACGTATTCCCAACAATTACGACTCGAGAATGTCAACGATGAATTCGAGAGTGTGGGAAATTGAGTGTTTTTCCTTTTTTTAGTTAAAGTGATATTTGTTTGCTAAAGATGACAAAAGGTTAAAAGTGTAACTTTATTATTTTTTAGGACGATCAATCATAATTTTAAGAACGACGTTTATCGATTCCCATAAAAAGGACTCTAATTGCATCAAATTCCTAATCGGCCTCTCTTCTTCTCACAAATTTGTATTCCCAGCTACAACAAGTGTAATTTACAGTGAAACAACCCCACCCTTTTCTTTTTCACTACTGAAAAGCAGTTGAGTTGAGAGGCATCTGTTTTGGAATAAAATGGCGAGGGGGGAAAAAGGCAGACCGTACGTGGAGACTCAGACAAAGTAATATGAAAAAGGCAGGCAGGTGGCACATATTATTGTTCCAGATAGAGTCGTTGAGAGGACAATTGTGAAATAGCCGTTGCCCGCGTTGGTGACAATGGCTCCCACGTTATTATTATTACTATTACGAGAAGTATTGCAGGTGTATTGTTATGCGCAGAGGTGTACGGTAACGGTATTTCGGTAAATACTGAAATATCAAATCAAATAAGGCTCTAAATTTGGTATTCTCAATCTTAATTTCTAATAATTTGTTCAGTGTCAGTATCATTATATTGCCGAGTACCAAATTAATTTTCTTCAAAAAATCACAATTCTTTTTTTGGTCATTGAAAAAATCACAATTCTAATATAAGCCAAGAAAAATTAGGCAAATAAAATTACCTGCAACATTTGTTTGTACCATCTAGCTCGAGGTATGAACAATGATATTTGTAGGTGTGGGGCTGACTCACGATCCGTTCGTCTGATCTCGTCGGGAGGAAAGAAACCTGTGAAAGATTCGGGGATGCCCACCGGATTAAACTCCGACGACCAAGTTAGTTCATGTTTAATGGTGAAAGTTGAGAGAACAAGGTAGAGAGATAGTGGAAAGTGGATTAGCTTTATTGATATTTAAGGATTTATTCCAAAAGTGTAGTAGTTGCTAAAAAAATTCACAATACTTATTTGTAATAAAGCGAACTCATACGTGGTTCGTTGAAAACTTCTAACACCCTATTGCTACATGTAACATCATACTGCTTCTTCTCGTGCTCTGAGAAACATCCTCACATCATATATACTACCTTAAGTTTTAACTTCACATTCAGACCCGGACATAACACTAGCATTCTGGTTACATCGCCTGCTTAGGAAATTTATAGTAACGAGTGATGTTGTGCCCCCGAAGTACCTCTCCTATCATCCATGACTCATTCATATCACTTACCATATTGTACCAACTGACAATACAGTCACATTCAGCCATGGTCTCACAACACATGTCATATACCACATCACATAAACATCATGATACAGGAAATTTCATTCCATAACACACACATCCATTCATGTCATCATGCAATCCTCCATATCATATAAATATAACAAATACCATAGAAAACTATCACATAACTATATCATCCACATGCACAGTTCGTATATCACATCACAAATTCCATTACACCCTTTTTTCAGCAGGATTCTTTTTTTTTAACTCGCTTCATTACTTCAGGCAGAACATTTCTTCCCCCGATAGTCTATATCGATACTTTAAAAATTTGAATTCTACGAAAGAAGAAATTACTGGATGAAGTCATCACATAACCTCATCATAGAAAATCCTTATACAAGGATTCAATCACATGCATGTTTAGGTTGATTCAGTGGCTTTTACTTCATTATCTTGTCAAATCATACACTCTTCCAGAGATGTAGGAATAGGAATTACCATTGATCCCAATCGAACATATCACCGCGGAACGTACCTCAGCTTGGTGCCATTATACCACTGTAGGACGTACCCAGCCCGGTTACATCATATCTCAAACCACCTAGGAACGAATCATCGTTCGGTTTCATCATATCATGTTCTCCCTTTTCCCATATCTTGGGTTGAGTGTACAACAAGGCAATCTTTATGTTTGATTTAGGTGACCATACAATAACATTTCCATATATGCCATTAAGGCCAATCAATTTTCCTTTCATTTACAAATAGTATACTTTTAACCATCTCTTCCCTTTTCTCATTCACATGCCTTATAGGCCATTTCCATATTCTAATCATACACTTTCGCGCTAGGCAAGGTATCTTGTCTATCATTTTGCTTAGCGCCTCAAAGGTCCCTCGCAGTTTCATGTAACCGATATCTAGTTTTATATCACATAGTCATAGCCCATATATCATAATGAAAATCATCATACAATACATTATACAATACCATCACACATACATGTCATTATCCTACAAACAACACTATGATATCACACGAATCAAACAATACTAACTTACCTTGTACTCGAGTCACTTCATAACTCGAATACTATATTCATATTAATATAAGTATTAGGTTAAGATTTATTCACTAAGTGACGTATCACCCTCGTGAATAGTATTTTCCCAGATAAATAGCTAAATGGGTGAGGGCCATGGGACGAAGCAAGTTTAAGCTTGATGATGACGAGGTGGGTGGCAGGCTGAACTTTCCATAAAGTCAAGCACACTCAAGTTGAAGGGCCAATGACTCGAGCTAGGTCTAAAGCCTTTCGAGATCAAATTATAGGTTATTTGGCTAAAGAATTGGAAGGCTTAAGGTTGGATTGCTAGAAGGAAAGTCCAGCACACTATTGAGCTACGCAGATCACAAAATTGGGCTCAAAAGGAGGGTCGGTCATGGAGAAGAAGTTTCAAGGTGTGAATGGAATCACTAAAGAATAAACATCAAGGTGTGAACACAAGGAGGAAGGCACATTTCAAGGCTAGATTATAGGAGGATGTTTGACTAAGTCTTTTCCTGGTTAGGCTTGTGTGGATTCTGTACGGTATGATAGGGAAACCCACACGCCGGTCACGTCCATGGACGGGTCATGACAGCCGCCCTACCACATTTCTAGAATGGAAGCAAAATACCCTTCTTCCTAGTAAGTAGTAACCACAGTGGTTACTTACTCTAAGTAATCACCGTAACAAGAGAACAAGATTCAAATGTATTGGGTTTTAGTAGGGTGTACATGAGTCGGGTGGTCCGGGTTTAGGCGTTTTAATCACCCGACCAATGCACTATGGTTTGGGAAATATTAAACCCAAACCCACACAAAAAAAAAATCCTACAGTTTGTTTCTAGTTGGGTTGGGTCGGGTTGCCGATAGTTTTAAGTAAAAATCCAACCCAACACAAAATATGTAATTATTCTACACCATAAATTTTTTTATAACTAATTAAAAAATCAAATAAATAAATGAGGTGAAAGGTATCAAAATTCACAAATGTTGTTTGAATTTCAATAAAATTTAATTTACTTCAACTTATGTCTAGTTTTTTCACGACATTTGTAGAAATACGCTAAAAAGATTATAAATGAACACATCCATAATATGTTATTCTATTAAAATTGTACACAAGAAAAAGGATTACCCGAATCATAGCTATATTAAACTTATGTCTAAACTTTAAGCTGAAGAATGCATTAGATTAGGAAGACCATGAGAGAAAAAAATGGCAAAATATCTTAATTTTCTCATAAGTATGACTATATACGACATAAATATTTTTTTCGATACGAACTCATATCAATAATTGAAACACGGGATGGGTCGAGTTCTACGAGTGGTGGAATCTAAAATCCAAACCCAACCCAAAAGAGGCGGGTTGTACAAAAGAAAATTCTCACCCAACCAAAAACCAACGTTTTAGCGATAAATATGGATGAATTGGATCGGATTGGACGGGTTGGCCAGTTTGCGGGCGTGTTTGTTCACCCCCTAAGTTTTAGGGATCAAGAGATTTAACCCTATAATTAAAACAAGGACATTTAGGTAATTTGAATAGGCGATAAATTTAAAAAATTATAACTTAAAATAGGAACAAGTGCAGCATTTGGTTTCTTGGTTCTGCCGCAACATTTGACGACAAGGCAGGCGCGTTGCTTGACAAAACGAGGCCCAGGCCCAGGCCCACGGATAGTTCGAATTGGATGGTCTCAGAGGGCAAAAGCCCAGCA